CAGCATGGAGTATCCGAGTATCCGGTCGATGTTGGAACCAGTGCGGAGCTTGAGGCTGCTTCACATAAAGCTTTTCGCGTGAGTGCCCATATCATACCATATCCATCCCATGCGCCATTAACGAGCGGTCACGTCGTGATCTCGGTTTCCCTGCCATGCTTTCTTACCCTGTGAGAACACTGCTCACCACTCTTTTGTGCTCTCGCGCCTCGGCTGCCCAGCGGATGCGGGCCACACCTCTTCCAGTCGCAGCCCTGGGCCCTGGGTTGCGGTTTCTCCGTGCCTGGCATCAGCAAGAGCCCGGGCTGCGTGTCCAAGGCTTCGAAGAGCTCTGGCAAGCTGACCTAATAGGGCAGCGCTACTCCGAGAGAGACTACAAGCTTTGGGTTCGAGGACCTGACGATGTCGCCCTGAACGCTTCCGCTCCGTTGCAGGTGCCAGCGGATGCTCTCGTACCAGCGCAAGCCCTCCTGGCGCAACAGAACCGAACCGAAGCGCAGGGCGCAGGGCGGCGCTCTGCTCGGAGTCTCTGATCTGCATGTGCTGGACCGGGGGTTCCCATTACAGAAATCTGCGGTCGCCTGCTGCGAGAGCTCGGCCTGGAAGTGTTCGTCCGCAGCGCCCCGCGGCAAAGCGCTCTCCTCGCGAGCGGAAAGCCGGAAAAACCCGTGCGGGGAGCGCTCTCCAGTTCTCCAATCTCCTCCACCATGACCTGAGCTCAGGGACTCTTTCCCAAGCTTTGAGCCGCTCTCCGCTGCCTGCCTTGAGGACGCAGATGCAATGGCACATCTCCTGGACCTGAGAGTGCTGGGAGCGTGAGAACTGTGAGAGTGAAGTCAATGAGTCAAGGGTCTTCTGTCTTCTCTTCCGTTTTGGTCCGAACGTCGGTTCCGGGGTCCCATCCTGGCTATAGAGGAGGCAGTGGTCGTAATCGCTGTCAAAGGCCTGAAGACGAGAAGCGACGCGGCCCGCAGCGCGGCCCGCATCCGTTCGCGGCACGGTTAAGCGCTCCTCAAAGATCAGCGTCAGCTTCTCTCGCTTCGTCATCCCGCTCACCAGGGCCAAACCTGCCAGGTAGTGGCCTCAGAGCAGCGCGCAGCCTCTATGCCCTAAACACCGCGGTAATATACGGGTTATGTAGAGGGAATCGAGAGCTGCCCAGAGCTGGTGACCCCCTTGGGGCGCTCTAGCGGCTGCGGCGGAATTTTGGGATGGAGGTGTGTGTGAGCCCGGCCCGCCTCCAAAGAACCCCCATGTGAAACTTGCAGAACGGTCCAGAAGTTAACCGCTGAAAGAGACTTTCACACATGCAGAAATAGCTATGGAACGCTGAGGCCAGCTTCAACAGCGTGCTGGATGTCTCCCGGAAACGACCGCTTGCTTTCGAAGCCGATGCCACAGAACTAGAGTCTGTGCATAGCTGTATGCTCGATGATAGAGAAATCGACTCGTTCATGGTGCTGACGGCAGCATTCGAAGAAGCAAGAGCGAGAGAGAGAGAGAGAGAGAGTTTTCGCAACTTGTCGAAGGCAATGTACTGCAGTTTCTTATCGTTTTTTCGTGTCACAAGTGAACTGACGTCTCAGGGACGCCGTGCTGTCCGCGCTATGCCCGTACCTATGCAGGGCTTGCCTTCTGCAAAAATCCTCAACACCCAGTGATGCATCGAGAAGGGGCTGGCATCAGCAATTGAGACTCATGCTGTGCTCCTGCAGAAAGGGCTCTAGAGAGTTTCCAAGTATAGGACTCAGGGAGAAAAGCATGCACGCTCAGGAGCGAATTCTCTTGGTTCTGGGTTCCCGGCAGAGCGGCAAAGCGTTTTCCAGGAGGCCAAGGCTACGGCGAAAGGTTTGCATGCGCTCGAAGATCCGCAGCATGTACAGCACCTCATGGTCCTCGGAGATACTCAAAGAAACAGGTGCTCCGTGGATTCCAGTGTCGTCGCGACGACGTCCCGCCTGGAAGATCAAGGTTGCCTCCCCGGCGGGTTGGGTCGCGGGCGGGTTGTCTCGCTTAGGCGCTTAGGCATCGGGCCTCGGGGTCCACCAGCACCCGCAGGAGGGAGGAAGTGGTCACCGTGAGGTCTTCGGACCGCGTGCTGAGAGAGGCGAGAGGAGACCAGAGAAAGCCGACTCAGAACTCAAAACCTCAGAACTCCCTGGGCTGCACCCTTCAGGCCCCACCGCCTTCCGAGGCGCTTCAAGAGCAGCTGCCAGAAGTCTCGCAGGAAGCGGCCCTGGCCGAAGCGGACAAACAACACCGTGCGAACGAACCCGCAAACTAACCGGCTTCCCCCCTTCCCTCCCCCCTCCCTCCCCCCCTCCCTTCCCCATCCCGGCCCGGCGGCGCTTTGAAAGGCGCCTGGAGCTTCCGCTGGAAGCGGTCCACGGCCTCGCAGCGATGCGACGTCGTCACCAGGCGCCTGCCAGCGCAGACCGCAGTGGGGGGGCCATGGGGGGCCATGGCCATGTATATGGGCCGGAGGGCCCCCCCCCCCATGGACTGGCTGCGGACACTCCGAAGGACCGCGGGGACCGCGACGAAGGGAGGTCAGGAGCGGAGCGGAGCGGAGGTCAGGCGGCGTTTCAGGCACTGGCAGTGGGGTCTTTCGAGCGCTGCTAGCTGACCGGGCTGGCCGGCTGACCGTGAACCGCGCCTGATGAAGGTGCGGATGTGGCTTTGCAAGCGTACCTCGGTCGTCGGCCATCTCTCTCCAGACTTATAAAGCTTTCTCTTCTCATGTCACGGCCTGCTTGCCGTTCCAGCCCTCCATAACAAAGCGCATGGAGACGATGGTCCTGTGGGAACCGGGAAGGCCCGGCCGCGGATGCCGGCTGCTCCAGTCTCCGTGGACGCAGAGCAGGGCCCTGCAGAGGGGCCTTTCCATGAGCAGCGCCTTGAAGGAGTCCACGGGCATCTCCCGGTGCCCTCCGCAGACCTCCCGCAAGGGCGGCGCACTTGTTTGCGGGGCGCCCATGTCTAAGCCGCCTGGCCGAAGAGGTGCCGGCAGGTGCTCTGGTTCAAGGGGAAGTGGATCGCCCTGCTCTGGGCAGCGCCGCTCAAACAGAGACTGCGGAACCGCAGCAGTGCCGCAGTGCCGCTCCGGCTCAGCTCGGCGCTTCAGGAGATCCGAGAACTTCAAGAAGCTCACCGACAACTCGCCTCTCTTTTAGGCGCGAGAGAGAGAGAGAGAGAGAGAGAGAGAGAGAGAGAGAGAGACGAAGAAAAGAGGCGAGCAGCACGGAGCGGAGCAGCCGCGTGGCTCCACGCTCCACGCTCGGCTCCGGGCCGCTGCTCTGGATGGCCGCGTGGAGGGAGCCAAAGCGCTTCAGAAGCCGCATCTCACGCAGTCAGAGGCCACCGTGGCACAGAGAGCGGCGCGCTCGGCTCTGCTGGCGGCTCCACGCTAGCGCGGCGCGCTCCCTGCCCCTGCCTTCACTTCCTCCCAAAAGTTCATCATCCTCGGCAAGAGCACAGGGCAATAGAGGGCAGAAAAATGGCGGGATGGCGGAGTTCTCTTTCGGGCCGTTTTTGCTCCGAGCAGCGCATCGGGAGTCCGGTTCGAAGGAACTTTCAGCAGCTCGCTCCACTCCTCGCGGCAGCGCCGCTCCGCTCCGCTCCGCTCGGCTCCGCTCGGCTCCGCTCGGCTCTGACTCTGGCGCTGCGAAGGCCTCGCCTCGCCCACGCGGATCTCGTGCTGCCTCGCCAGCTGCAGTGCCCGGGCTGCCTGGACCTCCGTCCCGGAGAACTCTCACACATCACACATATGAGACCCCCACCTGCAAGAACGCCGTGCCCCGAACGGTCACCGGGCATCACCCACTGCTTACATCATTGGCATCATCGTGACCACGCTTGTGACCCTTTGGTGACGCTTGCATCTCGTGACACGATGCAAGTAACCAGACAAATCTAAGCGCACGTGTGTGAACCCGCTTGCGATCTTCGCACAGGGTGTCGAAGTTCAGTCGGGCTTTTGTTATGTCTTGAATCAAACACAGAAACTAGACTCTGATTCTGTGCCCCAAACCGGAGCTTTTGAAGAGCCCATCCCGGAGCCCCGCCCGTAGCCATGCCTTGGCATTCAACTCCAAACGACGCTGCCGCCGTGTTGAGGCATCCTCCTCGTCGCTTAGCCACCAAAATCAAACTCAATTCTTGCGGTTTCGTTTCCTTTCCTTCCACCCTCCACCTCACATTGTGACTCTGGCGATTTAAGCATGAAGGTGGTGTTGCTGAGGCCGCAAGCCGCAGATGCAACGTTAAGCAACAGCAGCAGCAGTGCCAGCTGCAGTGGCAGTAGCGTTAGGGCTCAGTAGGAGCAGTAGGAGTACTGGTGAGAAGGAGCAGACGTACAGTGGTATTCGAGGTAGCAGCACAAAGCTTTGTATCAACAGCAGCAGAGGCGATGTCAAATGTTGCAGCACGCTCAGTGCCAGTCTCTCTAATCGAGCGTCTAGGTCTAATTCCTTTCGCTGCATGGATTCCCCGCCGGACGCCTTGTTTAGATCACTTCAGTGGCTCCCCTTCCCCTGGCCCCTGGCATCCCCTGGCCCATCTCTCCGAGTTGGGAGTGGCCGGGAAGGAAGAGTCCCGCCGGGAAGCGGAGCCTGGAGCGTTCTGCAAGCAGTGCACACTGTGCACACGGTCTCTTCGGGAGCAGTGCACACATGCCGCGCGCCTTCGCCCCCCCGCGCCTTGGAGTTGGAACGGCCTCCAAGAACACACTCGGCTCGGCGAGTTTAACCGCTTCATCGCGCCCGGGGCCTGCATCCTCAAGCAGGCCCATATGGCCCATCTCAGCGCATCCCTGAGTTCATCCCGGCTCGGACGGGTGGACGGGTGCCCTGAGCTCTTTGAGCCAAAGCCTCTCGCTTGGGAAGGGGAAGATGTGTCACGATGCACTCAATGCACATTACATAAGTAGAAGTATACACGTTATGGCCATGATATGGGCCTTATGGGGCAGTGGGTCCCGCGGTAAACATGCGGGGGCTCGCATTGTGCGGGTCAGGGCGAACTCCAACATGTCGGCCTGCAAAGGGAAGGGGCCGCAAAGGCGCGCGACTGTGGGCTTGGACTGCTCTGAGCCGTGCAGCCGCTCCCGTGCGCCTCCATGTCCACTTGTCGCACCACCGGCTTGGAGGTGGCCATCGCAGCGACTCCGCTCTGCTCTGCTGGGCGACCCAGGCGCAGGCCCGGCGAGTTCCGCGAGCCGCTCTTCCGCTCTTCCGCTTGAGCCGTCTCCAGCGGGGCTCTCCCTTCTCTCAGCCTTCTCAGCAGAACCCGCAGTCACCGCAGTCGCAGTGCCCCCCCGTTTTCTCTAGGGAGTCGCAGGGTCTCAGCGTCTAAGAATCCGCCATGCACGGTTCTCCTTTGGACCAATTCCTCTGAGGATCTCTGCGGTCCTCTGGTGCCAACAGTCAAAAGTGGTTGAACCGCTGCTCTGCCGACTCTGCCTCAACCCGATTCCGCTCGAAACAGCTTGGCACTGCTGGAGCCCGCAGTATGCAAATCGCTTGCTGCTCACTTCTTCCGCTCGCAAAGGAGGTGCCTCTGATTCGGGGCTTTCAAGCCGCTGTACAGCGCGTGCGGAGCGCAGCCAGCGCAGCTCAGGAAGGATTCTCTTCTCCTGTGAGAACCGAGCACCGCAGTGACAGTGGGCTTCAGAAAGCGTACGCAGCACGTGGTCCTTAAAACTGACTTGCTTTTGAAGTCCTGCAAGCCGCGAGTCGTCGAGAATCGTCGAGATGCATGATGAAAGCTGCTCCGTCTATCTGGGCGCCGCACAGATGAGGGGCGAGAGCTTTAAGACCCTCGCCCCACTCGGAAACTTGGCTTTCTGGCTCCTGGGAATATTTCAAGCAAACACAGCAAATACCCAACCAAAGCCAAGCCAAGGTTGCCAAGACACCAAGCAGTGCTGGGCAGGTCAAGGCCAAGGTGCTTCGCGGGCACCAAGGCCCCCATCCGCATGGCCGCGACCTCTGCAAAAAGATGGAGGGGCGGCTAATCAGCTGCTGCCCCGTTTTCTTGCGGAATCCCCCAGGCCGCCTTGGACTTCTTCCGATTCTTGAGTTCCCCTTCGGGGCAGAGGTGGCAGTAGCCACAGTCCTGACATCAGAGCGCTGGGGCCCTGGGGCCCTGGGGCCGGGTGGCTTGCGCTTGTGACCTGCCTTGCCTGGTCGTTCTGGCAACCTTGAGGCTTCCAGAACCACGCGCATGGACGACACCTCATTGCACTCTCTGCAATTCCCAGAGGCACCCCACTCTGGGTGCTGGCTCCTCTCAAGAGAGGCCCCTGCTTGCCACTGCCATGTGTATTGGAGCCCTTGGAGGGCACCGTCGCGACCGTGACCTCTCGACAGACGAAACGGCCTGCGGTCGAAGTCGACGCCTAGAACGAGAAATCGAAGCCATGAAAGAGATCGACTTTGGCTTTTTTCGCCTCCTGGTTCCACGTGGGCTCGGCGACCGGCGGCTTTGCAGCCCCCGCCGCCACCCCCGCCGCCGGGCCCTCCTCCAGCCTCGGCCGGATCCCGAGGATCCCAAATGCTTTCTGCGCTGCGGAATGACTCCGAGCTCTCAGGCTCTGGCAGATAAGGCGAAAGCAGGTCCGCTTCTGTCTCCGGTCGAGGCTCCATGTGCATCGGAACACCGTTAGGAGCGGTCATCGAAACCGCGGCCGCGCCCTTCCTTTTCGGCGAGAAGGGCGTAGGAGGGAGCCTTTTCCCCTCCTCATACAAGCTCGCGCCCGTGTTCTTCACCTCTCGGCAAATGCATTCATTCATTCATTCTTGCTTGCACGCAGACAATTCATTCATTCTCTCTCTCTCTCTCTCTCTTCCTTTGTCTGAGGTGCAGACGGCTTTGTCGGGTGCCATTTTACCTGGTGCCAATACACCCAAGACAGTCACTCCAAACTCCTCTTCTCTCAACCTGTGGTGCCATTCCGGAGCTCTGTGTGGTGGCCGTGGGCTCCTGCGAGGCCACAAAGGAAAGCTTTCGCGGCTCAGCGGCTCTCGGTCCTGCAGCGGCTTGCGCCGCGGCGGCTCCTCAGCGCAGTGCGCAACGACAAGTTTCTTGGCCCACCACGGCCACGGCGGCCACGGCTCCTGCCGCTGCAGCCGCATGTGCCGCGGCCGCCGCCATCTGGGCCACTCGAGCAGGAGCTTGAAGAGCCAAAGGCACCCCAGCCGCTCCAGCGGGGCCCGCCTCGCCTCAGACACTCAAAGACGAGGCCGGAGCTTCCGGCGAAAACCGCAAAAAAGGGGCCCCGGGCCGTGAGCTTCCGACTGCCTCGCAGAGGAAACTGCAGAGAGAGTGCGCTTTGATGCTTCTTTCTGCGCTGCGGCGCTGCGGCGCTGCGCAACTGCGCCTCTCCGAATGGATGCCAAAGTGGTCCCAGCCAGCTCCGGCTCCGGAGGGCGTGGGCGTCGCTGGCCAGAGCTGGGCCTCAAAAGCTCAGGTCTGAAGAGGCGCACTGCACTGATCGCCGCGCTCCCGGCCTCCCTCGGCTCCCGCTCAGGGCCTGCTCAAGGAGAAAACTAAAGAAGGCTTGAAAGGCTTATAAGCGTGTGGTCGCTTCCTGGCCTGGTGGGGTCTGCAGGAACATGGAGAGCGTCGCGGGGTTGGCCGGGTAGCCTCCCAACAAACACACAGCAACACAGTGAGTGCAAAGAGCACGCGTTGCAGGTGCTGTGCCTTCGGGCCAGGGGGAGTGGGAGTCGTGGGACCACTGCGTCGGCGTATAGTCCGCCCAGCGAGCCTTCGCAGATGAGACGAGAGCGGGCCTGAAGAAGAGAGGAAGAAGAGGGAGGGAGCGGCGGAGCGGCTGTGCCGTCGAGTGCCGGCCTTGGCGCAGTCCCCTCTGCGCTCCTTCCGGGAGCTGGGCCCGATGGGAGACCTCTCAGAGCATCGCGAGGATCCTAAGGATCCTAGCCGTCCGAGCCGCGCGGAGAATACGGATGAATAAGAGGATCTAGGAGGAAGGGAAGGGGCTGAAGACAGCGCAGGAGCAGCCACCGCGGCCAGACTCTACTCGGCAGAGCTTCGGGTAGCCCAGCTCTTGGTCAGCTGCTTGGTGGCTGCAGGGCGACCAGCGACCGGAGAGATGGTGGAACCTGAGCCACTGCCGAGACTGCCGAGTAATGCTAGCGTCGCTCTTTTTGGCGGGGGCCCCTGCGGTTCTGGATCGGCAGCTTCGGTGCAGAGATGGCCGCCATCCCCCAGCCTGTACAGTACTCGCTTGCCACCTTTCTGCCCTTCTTAAGCACGCCGTGAGATGCGAAGCCACAAAGGCCCGCGCCAGCAGCGCTGCGGCGACAGCGCAGCCCGGAATCCGGAATCCAGGGCCCCAACAAGCGTAAAAAGGGACCGTGAAAGTGAAGCACCCTTCAGGAAGAGGAAAAGCTTTGTTTGTGTGAGAGACTTCTCAGCTGGAACTGAGCGCTGCTTTGTCGATGAGACATGAGGCCCGTGAGAAGCCTTGAAGCTCCGTCGCACTCCGGGAGGAGTCCAAGAAGAAAACACAACACAAACTTGTAACTTGGAGTTGCGGGCGGGGCGAGGCCTTTTTGAGGGAAGCGCAGACGTCCTCTGCAGCCGCTTTGGGCCGGCTTGTCCTCTAAGTGTGGGGGATGGTGAGCACTTCTCCTGGCCGGTGGCCGCAGAACTGCAAATTGTTGGGCCTAGGCCGGGCCTTGGCTGGTCTCCAGGAAGCCGGGCAGTGAGCAGAAAGAAAGGGAAAGGCCCTTTCAGAAGGACTCAGCTGACCCGCTGCTGCGCCTTCCTGCCGCTCCCCTTACAACGTTGCCTTCGGTGGCAAGGGTGAGGTCTTCAGCGTCGCCGGGTCGATGACCAAAACACTCTCATGACTTTCGTAGGGCCTGCAGGAAGCTTCTACAAAGGAGACGAAGCCGATTGCTGAAAGCGCCGCAAGCACCCGAGCTCCGAGCGCACAGTAGACCTTCCCGTCTCGCCCCTCGTGACGCCACAAACGCGAACACGAAGAGAGACCTCTCCTCTCGGCCCTGTCTCCTCTGCGCTGCGCACTCCGCACACTGGCAAGGCCCTGCGGGGCCCAGGCCAGCACGCCCCCTCGCCACTTCCACCGAGCAGAGCCCACCTCGCGCCGAGGTGTTGTACGGTGTGCACTTTGACTCTGCTGAGCTGTGCCGTGTGTGCTATGTGCGCTATGCGCTTTTTCAGTGTTCTTCGCCTCCCCGAAGAGCAGCACATCCTGCGAAATGCAGAGACTTTGGGGGGGCCGGAGGGCGAGCTGTGGGCACAGATCTCTGCATGGGGCACCTGGGGCGGATGCAGAGCACCTGTCACGCGACGCAGCTGTCAAGCACCGATCGAAGCATCACTTTAAGCCCAGGCCCTGCAAACCCTTCAACTAAAACTTCCGGCCCGGGCCCTCATGCCAAGGCGAAGCTTCTCCTTTTTAAGCACCGCTGCATACTCCACGGGATCTTGTCGCGAAAGGGCATCGCATCGCGGCCGGCCCAAGCAAGGACTGCGCTGCTCCTGGTGGTGTTTCCTCGCCGCAGATCGCGATCCAGCAGTCGTGCAGCTTGTTGCGCCGGGCCACCTCCGACAAGGGGATGTCGCTGCTCGTCCTGCAGACATGCACTTGAAAGCATGGCCCAGGGCATGATATCCCAACCACAACTTATCACCCTGCGTCAACATCAGTAGGCATGTCAGTAGGCAGCATGGTGTGCTTCCCTGTGCCTATGCTGTGCACTGCTCATTCATGCGCTGTCAATGAGTCAAAATGCAAATGTGCTGTCATCATGCAGCCGAGCAACATCTGGTTAGTTTCGGACTACCCCAGAATCAAAAACGAATTTCACAATACTCGGACAGGTCCTGTCACGTACCCACTATAGCTGGCTTTTTTCTTACAGCGCTGCGATGGGAATGCTGGCTCTAAGGTGGCTCTCCTAAACCCGCACCCCGGCCCTAAACCCAACACCCGAAACCCTCAAAACCTACGCCACCCTACACACCTCAATCCTGCACAGCCTGAGGCCTAAGCCCAAGCACCCTCAAAACCTTTACTTAAACCCTGGACCCCAAATCCAATAAATTCCAAACACTATAAACCTCATAACCTAAACTAAATGCGCTGAACCCCAAACCCTTCAAACCCAAGCCCGACAAATGCGAGTTGTCCTAGCAGGGAATTTGCAATCATGAATCATGCGAAACCGACACACGTCTACGCACTGCTCATACTCTTGGTATCATGTTCCCGACATGACATCATCAGACATAGAGCTTCGGGCATTTCATGAAGGGTCGGGGCATGTGGCTTGACAAGGGGCCTGTACGACTAAGTCGTGGGAATTCTTCAGGTCCGTCCGAGCAACGCCCCTTCTAGCCTAAATCTGTTTGCGAAACACCTGGACGTAAAACTGCATCCAAGGCTTTCAGCATGCATTGTTACATCCTCGCAACGTGGGGGGACGAGGAACCTTAGCCAACTGCCAGAAACCTCTGAGGCCAAGGGCGGAAGACAGGTGCAACAAGGCCCCCTCAAATGCCCAGGCGACCTAATTTGAAGCGTCCGGAACAAAAAATAAAGAACAAACCTGTGAAGCCCGGTCTTCGCGAGCAAATGATTGAATCCCAACACCGGTCATGGACGAAGCGGGGATCAGACTAAGCAAGAAGTCTCAGTCCCGGAATGGGGCGATGCAAGAGAGAACATCACAGAGATGCAGAACGAAACACATCGCATCAACCGCCGAGCCCCAAAACGAAACGAGCCTCAAACGGGAAATGATAAGCCCTAGACTGGGTTCTTGTTCAGAATAAGGCTCTGCAGGAAATATTATGGTTTCCTCATTATGGTAAACTAAATCAAGTTCCTTATAACAAGACCGGCGATACAGCGCGCGTATTTTGAGCGGTGGTGCTTGCATCGCGCTTTCTCGATTCTGCAGTTCCATGGAAGGTCTCTGTTGGAGCTTCGGTTTCGCATTCTCCTGCTTCCAAGGTTGAACAATCCAATGAGCTTTCTGGAAACACAGCAAGAAACTGCGTCCAACTAGCTCTACAAGGGTGCACAAATGCCTCCCAGCCCCGTTCGAACATGGCCAGAACTTGAATTCGCGGGCTACGGAAAGCGAAAAAATAAACTTAAAATGCAAAGCTTGAAGGAGGTCGCCAACACCCCTAAAGCACCGACCGCGGCGAAGGAGGGTTTGCTTTTGAATTTGAAGGACTGCGTGGTGTGCGTGCGCTAGGGTGTGGAGATATAGTTCGGGGTGTCCGCGAAATATTGCCGCGACCATCCCCGAAAACAACTTTCCCCCACCCAATTTCAAGTTTTCGCTGCAAGCCGTTCGAAACAACAAAGGTTAATACGCGCAGTCCAGACGTAGAGGTGCCGACTATATACGAAAGACCGACATCACGACAGTACTGCAAATACCGAGAAAAACGGCTCTTGTGGAGCGAGTCCAAAATCAAGAGCCCGAATTTGCAACGTCGACAAGTCGATTTTGAGGCTTTTTACGTTGATCGTACATAACGAAAGTGCTGTAAATACCGAATACTTATAAAATAGATGGTGCTTTAACGTGGCTAAGAGCAAGTGTGGTTGGTGAAGGGGGTGCCTACTACTAGTTCACGGCTGTGTTGAGGTGAGGTGACGGGAGCCCAGAGTGTGAGCTGTGATTTCTTCAGCAAAGCACATTATTAAGCCCCCCCCACCCTCCACCCCGTTCCAAGTAGAAGAATCGATGAATCTGTCGGGGCGCCGAAAAAAAGGGCCCAGTGACTACTACTACTACTACTACTACTACTACTACTACTACTACTACTACTACTACTAGTACTACTACTACTATTACTACTACTACCACTACCACTACCACCTACTACTACTACTACTACTACTACTACTACTACTACTACTACTACTACTAAAACTACTACTACTACTACTGCTACTACTACTACTACTACTACTATGTGTCGCCATGTCTCTGCCGAGTTCAAGCCTGCAGGTGCAGGAGTTGTATTGAAAGCTGGGTTGGCGTCTGCCTTCGGGTTTCGGAGTTTTAGGTTATTGTGGTGAAATACTGTCATAATGCTTCGAAGTTGGGTTTGGAAGGTAGCCCTGCCTTCCAGGGAATAAAATTTTACGCAGAATTTGTGTAAGTAAGATCTGGGATTCAGCAGTTCTCATTCGGTCCCCTCCAGGAGACGGATCCAGAGAGGGATCGCTTCCTCAACATCCCCAGAACGAAAGTTCCAAACGCGGAAAGCAAACCAAAGCAAACCGGGAATAATGGCTTTGACAGGGTTTAGAGGGTTTAGGGTAGAAAGTAGGACTCACAAGTGCTCGTGAGATGGTGTCACCTGAGGATATGCAATCTTCGGGCATCGCACTGCGGCGCAGCTTCTCGCCTGAAGGAGGTATCGACGGCATGGGCCTGGAATAGGTTCATGGGTACAGCAGTTATAAGTGGGGTTACGAGTCACGAAATATGGGTTATCGCTATAGCTATCCTGCCCACCCTGCCCGCAGCGCTTAATTTCTTTGATTTGAAGCCTTGTAAGGCCCCAGGCCTTCGTTGCACCCCCATGGAACTATCTAGGAAGAAATTTGTGAACGACAACTCCCGCAAGCTCCAAAAAGCTAGCTTTCGTGACTACCCATGAACCCCCAAGCCCGGCCGCAGCGGAACAATGCCTCCTTGAGCTCCAGGTTCAGAGTCGGACCTTTGACGGGGTGAGAAAAATCACTTGCGGAGGAGCATAGGAGGCCTCCAGTATGTTGGGATGTCTTGTAGGCATCCGTCCCCAGTCAGGTTGCGGGCTTTAGGACTTCAGATGCAAGACATAAGGTTTGAGTTAAGGGATGTAGGGCCTAGGAACGTGCAAGGAAGGTTGAGGCTGAAGATTCTCGGATCTGGGCCGCAAGTGTGTTCGTTCCAGCCAACTTCCCTCTCCTCTGACGACGACTGTTGCCTTGAACTTCCAATTCCAACCGAATCGTTATTGTTATCCCTGGCATGATCGTCACCCTCACAGCCCTCATCTCCACCAGGAGTTTAAGCTGCTTAGGACGGGCACGGTAGGCTAAGGTGTGCAAGCGGACATGTCAGGATGATGACGAGACGGCGACTAACACGGCATATCAGGAGTTTTGGGGTCAGGGCTTCAGAGTTTCAGGGCTTTGGGCAGCTCGCCAATCTTTGTGCCATGAGCCACATGGTTCCTCTGAGCACACGGCGCAACCGCAGCAGGTAGCGGTCCGTGATAGCTCGGCCATGCCTTACTTGCAAAAATTTGCAGTCTGCGGTCGCGACTCGCAATATAAGTTCGCTGAGGATTTAAAGATCAATCAAACGTAGCATACGATGCTAGACTAAGGGAAGAGTGTCAAGCCGTGTCGTCGTAGATCTCCAAGATCGTGTATCTTCAGATGCACAAACCTGCCAGAAGTGCGCGGATAGGTCAAAAATCCAAAGTTCATCTAAGCACCGCGCAGGATTGGTACGGGATGGGTTTCCCGTGAAACGCGATGCTTCATCGCAACATCCTCACCCTGCGGCCCCCAAAGGTTCAACTTAGTACATGTTCGCAACTTAGGGCGCAGACCTTAGTCTGGCATTCCAAAAGGTTGCCCAGTGCGTATGCTACGTTTGACTGATCTTGAAATCCGCAGCGAACTTATGAGCGAACTTATGTTGCGAGTCGTGACCGCAGACTGCAAATTTTTGCAAGTAAGGCATGGCCGAGCTATCACGGACCGCTACCTGCTGCGGATGGGGGTGCGCCGTTTGCTCAGAGGAGCCATGTGGCTCATGGCACAAAGACTGGCCAGCTGCCCAAAGCCCTGAATCCCGGTGAGATCGGATGCGAGGTTGGATCGTGAGTCGGAGCCGCGAGGTGCCTGGGCTAAGCGGCTACATTGCGATCACGTACTAAGTTGAACCTTTTGGGGGCCGCGGGGTGAGGATGTTGTGGTGAAGCATCGACTACTTTCACGGGAAACCCATCGCGTACCAATCCTGCGCGGTGCTTAGATGAACGCTTGATTTTTGAACTATTCGCGCACTTCTTGCATTTTTGTGCATCTAAAGATACACGATCTTGGGATCTACGACGACACGGTTTGACACTCTTCCCTTAGTCTAGCATCGTATGCTACGTTTGATTGATCTTTAAATCCTCAGCGAACTTATGTTGCGAGTCGCGACCGCAGACTGCAAATTTTTGCAAGGCATGGCCGAGCTATCACGGACCGCTGCCTGCTGCGGCTGCGCCGCTTGCTCAGAGGAGCCAAGTGGCTCATGGCACAAAGACTGGCGAGCTGCCCAAAGCCCTGAATCCCGGTGAGGTCGGATGCGATGTTGGATCGTGGGTCGGAGCCGCGAGGTGCCTGGGCTAAGCGGACCAACTGACAACGAGGATATACCGGACCTCCTGGCCATCGTTGTTCCATGCCTGATCACTAAACGGCACTGATCTGAATATGATGCCAAGATGGATGGTGCGTTCGGTCAGCTCCGCTCCTGAACCAGGCCCTCGCTGATGTTCGTGATCAGAAGAGCATCGTCCTGCAACTTTCAACGCTCGGAAATTCGAGCTACTCGCG